GCATACTGTAAATGTTGGATGCTGCATATGATGCAATAGAAAAGATCTCAATACTATAAATATCAGATGCTATTTACGATGTTGCCATTTTTTGAAAGGCATGTTGTAGGAGGCTCTCTGGTGTTCTGATGGAGGTATGTTAACAGTTGCTGGACCATCTGCCTGATGTGAGCACTTGCTGCGATGATAGCTGCTCCGATGCAGAAAAAGTGTCCTGCAAACATATGCGGTTGTAGTCCAATCTTTGCGAGCAATGTACAAAGAGACTTTGTGAAGATACAACGATTAAGGGGTGTTCGTTCGGGAAGCAGAAACAGTGGTTCGGTTGCAAGGGGAAACATCTTATGTCGCACGTATAAAAATTGCTGCAGCATTGTAACTGGACAAAGAGGGGTTCCTGTTGGAAAAAGCCGCAAGTCGAAACCGTTCCGGAACTGATCTGTTTTAAATGCCTTGATATGAATAGTTATATGGGCTGCATGATCTGGTTGAAAGTTGAAGTGGGGCAAGTAAACTCGCTGCAGCAAAGGAAACCATAAAATGCTAACAGAAATACTTATTCCAGCATGAGATCGAAATAGGGACCAAATACCACCTGACGGAGTAGTTATGGGCAAACGTGGTTGGGTTCCAGTTCCTTGAAAATGTAGAATTCCGCGGAGTACATAATTAAAGCGAAGAGGTGACTTACCTTGTAGTGTAAGCAGGATTAGGGTAGCCACCGAATATGTAGTAATTCCATATGCCTGCCAGATATACCTTAATATTGGTGTATTTAAGATCAAGTTCGAAGCACAGTTCGTAACAAAATATATCAGGATATATCTTTGTAAGGTGACTGGTGCTTGGTTTAGCTGAACATTACTACAAAGAAAATCAGGCACGGGGCCTTTTCTGCAAGTGGAGCCTCTTCCCGGAAACGTTGTATCTGGAAACGAGACAGAGAATCGACAATTGTGTTAAGCTTCCCAGGGATATGTTGAGCTTGAAACATGAGACTGTGGGTGACTTAGAGCGGCCTTTATTGATAATGTGAACGGTCGCCATGTTGTCACAATTGAATATAATGCACTTGTGCCCCCATAAATGACCTCATAACACTGATGCTACTACGATTGAGTACAGTTTTTTAAATGCGATGAACAGTGCTGCATCAGAGTCAAGGATAAGTCCGTGCTGCCAGCGTTCATTAAACCAATGACCGCAGAAATGCCGCCATGCCTTATGCTGCTGGCATCTGTGAATGGCTGCATATCCGATGCTAGGGTTGTTTTGGCCTCAAGAAACATTGAAACACCATTCCAATTAGAAAGGATTTGGTGCCACATCAGCAGGTCTTGTTTACTTTCTGGCGATAATGTCACATGGTAGTTTGAACTCTTCACTCCCTTGGAAATTTCAAGTAAGCAAGAAATAAATGTCAGGCCTGGAATGACCAACTTGCATGTGAAATTCAGGTGTCCCAGGGGGCTTGGTAATTCGCGCTTTGTGCAGGATTTACGGGCAAGGAATGAAACAACCAAATTAAGCATCCTATTAAGTTTATCCTCTGGTAGGGGTGTCTCCATGGCAATAGTATCAAGTTCAATTCCCAGATATTCTAAACATTTGGTTGGACCCACTGTTTTAGTGGTGAGATAGGGATATTTAAGCAATGAAACAACAGTCAGTAGAGTCAGTAGAACCATTGTACGATCAACATCACATGATGGTGGGTCAACTGTTAAAAAATCGTCCAGTAAATGAAAGACAGTGTAAAATTGACTATCCCACTGGATACCATACAAATTCCATAAAGAAGGATGGATAGGGATTAGCTTAAAAGCATCAACCATGCGCCTCTACCCATTGTCTGAATGGCTAAAATTGCCTCATCAATTTTTCACGTAAGAAAGTGAAAACTGTTCCTTCTCCATTTATACTGGGAGTATCTACATTATCATGGGGTGATGATAAGTACATGATTAAACGTTTCTTGTCAGAGTATTTTTATTCTGCCACACCAATTGGACAACGATAATTGGCAAAAGGTGGTGAAGAAAAGGGGCTAATTTCTTTTCCATAACAACTTCTGTTTGTTTGCGAGCAGATACCAAATTACGGCTAATTAAGGTAGATAAAGGTGGGTTATTAATCCTAGTATCAAAGCCTTCCTGTAAGCCTGAAATAAGGTAGTTCACAACTGTTGAGTCTGGGATAACAGCTGACTAAGAATATCAATGTTAATTGGAGTAGAGGCTTTCTTAAGAAGTCAGGCTCTGCGTTGCTGTCCCTTAGGAGCACATTTCCCTTGACTCAAATTGTGGTCAGATGAATGGCAATTATGGCACAAATGGGAAAAGGCACAATTGCTCTTTTTGCAGCCGAAAGATGCATTACAGTTATTTCCTTTCCTTGGTAGAAAACACGTTTTCGACCAGATCTGTTATGGGATGCTGAGGCTCATGTATTACCAGGGGTATATAAATTAGGCTTCCTGGTGGTTGAGGCAAGCTGAGAGCACACTTCGGTTACATGAGCGACACTACTGCACAGATTACATGTATTTGCACGAAGCCCTGAGAATATAGAACAGTATAGCGACTGTATCTCGACGAGACCAATCCACTTTAATGTTGTGATTAAGAAGCAATGCAGCAGCTCTGGCAGAAAAAAACACGATGATACTCGTAAAATGCCAGTTAGTTATAACGTTTAGACATGTTCACTATGTCACGTTCATATCCATCTAATTCCCTTCGTCGCTCAGGGTAGACATAACATTTCTGTATACCGAAAATGCCAGAATGAATTCCTGAATCGTAAGCAAATGAGATATCCTATTATCTTGCAAGGGGTATAAAGTAAATGCCTCATCGCCGACGACTATGTGGCATTGACCGTCGGTGCATGTAACTGTAGCCTGGTTCTAAAAGACATGCTAGATTTATGTCCTTACCTGCGATAATATCGCGTCGAATGGATAGATAAACCAGTTCTATGTGTGGCAAATTTTCAGGAGTACAACGCGAGCGGAGAAAGTTGTTCTCAAAAGTAGCACTAGCGTTGATAGCCTGGGAGCCGCCAACTTGAATGACGTCATGGCTTGATTGTTGACCTCTGACCTATGGGCGTTTTGCAGTTGAACCATGTGGGTCAGGTTAGCGATCAACGATTTTAACTCCTTAAACATAACCATTGTAACGCAACCATCTTGACTATGGGTTGGTGAATTCATCGCCTGTGAAGTGCTTGCAGTTTGGTGCTTGGGCGTCCTCAACTTGCTGTGGAACCAATGCTTCCCGTTGTGCTGATAGAGAGATCGTGGTTCTTTAATGCCCACATTCCTTGTTTCGGCAGCGAGTTAATCCAAAGAATTACGAGTTGCTTCTCTAGTCACTGGTCTGGTGCAAGGCTGGACACGGGGCTGAGTAGATTTCTTTGCACGTCCACGCCTAGCTGGCATTGTAGACTAATTAAGTAGTGTTCTTCAACAAAAAATGAAATGAACGTAATGACGATAATGCACTGTAGCGAAACAAAAAAAAACTGAATGAATGAGCGGTAACAATGAAGTCAAAAGAAATTTAGGTGACTCTAAGTGTCGTGTGCAAGTGAGAAATGATTGGCTGCCAAATGAATAAAGCGCTTAATTAAACAGGGTTGCAAAGACCAACTAAAGGGTACTAAACAAATCCTCCTAGCAGTGAGCTAAGTGTCTTTACAAGATATATCTGTGACGTAAATAAACTGTGTTGTTGTATGTGTAATGGATTCGAAATACCATGTCGGGTTTAGTGGTTGAAATTAGTTTCCACAGCCAACAACATCCATTTTTCAAATATAGTTCTGCCCAATTCCGTTAATTAACTCAAAATACCTACAATACGTAATTCAGCAACAGTAGAAAACAATACATGCTGCACACCCCAACTTCCGAGATACAAATGAAGCAAAACATTTGAAATTCGCGAAAATTTCAGATTTGTCGACGAAAGAGATGACAACCATCTGCAAAACATTGGAATTCTGACAGCTTATGGCCAATCAGTTTCAGTCATTAGTTGAAGTGTTGAAACACTGCAGTCAAAACGTCATAGCTCCTTTTGTTCTATGGAAATTATATTGAAAGCATTACATTGTCATGAATTAGTTTTCGCGTATTTGTTGACCGATTTGTTTAGCTAGTGAATGGCTGTGTTATATCTGTCATCGTTTAGGCTCATGGACGGAACTTGACTCAGTGATTTAGAACTAATTACGATATAACCGTCGCTATTCGGACTACTATTTCTGACAGTTGGTATTCGCAGTTAGTAATATAGTGAATGATTAATTAAAAGATATGGCGTGTCCAGTACTTAGTGTGATTGGCTGTATGATTGAAGGCCACGCCTTAGAGTCTTTAAACTTCTTTGTAATTGGTTAAGGTTTTGAAAGTGAATGAAGGTGTTTTAGTTGGTCTTGGCGAGAACACCACAAGAGACGCCGTCTTGGGTCAGCCTTGCGATAGTCTTGGGGACTTTTCCCCAGGGCGCTGTGTCTTATAGAGTACTCGACTGGCCGACTAAAAACGAGATTGATACGTATTTCGTTGTGTGCGTCTATTTGACTGTAAGGCTTAAGTGACTTTCCCGGTCCGGTACCTCGAGCAGACGATACGTGCTGGAGATACCCCAGAGAAGAGAAATTTCCCCGTGATAACATCTACGCCACCCAAACAACTACCGTATCTCCCACCACCACGCACATCGTTGAAAAATGCGCGTAAACACTGCTGGAACAAAGGATTTCCGGCGATTTCATCTATTTCTTCTAAAAACTGACATTGCACCGATGTCAATTCTATTTTATTTGATGAGGGTTATCACCCAAGGCACCACGGTGAAACTCTGCACGAAACACGCCAAACAAGTAGTCACAGAACTCGTTTGATGTCGTACAATTTATTATACGGACCACCCATCAATCATCAGGGAAAGTTCCCAATATCAGGTCACATATGACAAATGTGATGACTCAATATAGAGATTACCCAACAGCAATCTTGAAACAAAATCG